AGGGCAGAGTAGAACTGCCCCACAGGGTTTTCCAAGGCTGTACTCTATAGAAACCGATAGCCTCCTTTTTCTTCTGTGGAACCTAGAGGAGGTAACCTCCTATTCAGTTACCCAGTTAGTACTCACAGCCACCAGTGTGTGATCAGGGACCACGTTCTCATCTACAGCTGTCCCTCAACTGATTTAAGAATGATGGAAAAATGAACTTTAGTCTGTTAACTTCATTTATTGACTTCATTTATCCAACAAAGGCAACTGTGTTGTCAAGAGGCCAAGGACTCTGTAATGTCATGTTAGGCATAATTTACGTGATTTTAGCTCTGCTCTTTTGTGTTGATATTGTGCTGTGAATGAGCAAGTTATTTTGTGAGGAGAAGGGGTTTTGTTGTCAGTGTTCATGAAATACACAACCATACGTAGCAGTGGATGTCAAAGGCAAAAATCTCCACCTCTGTGCTCTGTCACCAGAAGTTACTCTGTGACGGGCCTTACAGAGCAGCAAATGCTCACTATTCACTGGGGGGGCGTAGTTTCAGAACTGACCATGAATATCCTGTTACTGCCAAACTCCATTCTGTGGGAGCCACCTTGACGTCCACTATGGGTGTTAGATGATTAATGAGTCCCAAAATGGAGGGTGAGGCCTTCGGGACCAAATTGCAGCCACACACACGTTTGTCGGTTGTGCTACTTGGACCAGATCATCTTATGGATTTTATGAAGATGGCTTTTAGCAATCATTTGGGAATTTTAAATTTTTAACACATTCGATGTCAGTAAAAGACTTTTCCTGCTGTTGTTTTGACTTTGAGTTTAAAAATTCAAACAGTAATTTAAATAAAGAAGATTGTTTAAAACTAGTCTTAAAAAAAGCAAAAGGAATTGGGATTGGTTGCCCCTCCGACCTCTGTTTTGCCCTTCCAGTGTGTGCTTGTTTTTGCTCTTGGATGCTATTGAATCAACTCTGACTCACAGTGACCCTGTGCATAGCAGAATGAAACACTGCCTGGTGCTGTTCCAGCCTCACAATCTTTGCTATACCTGAGCCCATCGTTGCAGCCACCGTGTCCGTCCATCTTGTTGGGGGCCTTCGCCTTTTTCCATGACCCTCCACTTTACCAAGCATGGTATCCTTCTCCAGGGAATGGGCCCTTCTTACAATGTGACCAGAGTCGGCGAGATGAAGTCTGGCCATTCTGGCTTCCAAGGAGCATTCTGGCTGCAGTTCTTCCAGGACAGATGTGTTCTTGGGGAGTTGGAAATAACTTACTCAAAATAGTTTTCAATAATTTTACAGTTATTTAATAAGGATCACAACTTCTCATTTTATATAATTATTTGGCACAGTATATCAAAATTATTACATGTCTGTATGCAGAGATGGACAAAACTTGCTCCACGACCCCAAGCACACAGAGCTGCCAGAGACGCACACCTGATAGTTGCTATGGACTGTGTGAGTCCCACGTGGAAGGGCAATGACTCAGCAACAAGGAGGCGGTCTCAACAGAGGGGTGAAGCTAGCTTGGACTCCTAAGGTGTTTTTGACACCCATATCCCTGGCAGTTGATTGTAGCATGGTTACCAAAAACAGAAAACAAAACTCAACTCCTGTCAAGTCGAGTCCAATTCATAGCAACCCCTCCTTGGGTTTCTGAGGCAGTATCTCTACAGAAGTAGATTGCCCAGTCTTCCTTCTGAGAAGTGGCTGGTGGGTTTGAACCACCAGCCTTCTGGTTAGCAGTCAAATGCCATAGGCACTGTGCCTCCAGAGCTCCTAGCATGGTTAGCCAGCAGCTAGATTAGATTTGCCCGGTTTTAGAAAATTGGATCATCATGGCTTTCTTCAGTTTCGCTGAACCTTTGAAAAGAGGCCTAGGACTCTCTGCAGTTTAAATGGATAATAATTTCGTTTTGAAATATTTGAGGATTTTGTTAAGCATCTTTCAGTGAGTGCCGAGACCATCCAGTGTTGTGAACCAAGGCTGGCTGGGAACCTAGCTTAAGGCCACCTTAGGTCAGGCCTAAGTTGGGATCTCTCCTAGCTCTCAGTGTCCTGGAAACAGATGTGAAACCTAAAAGCAACGTGCCCATAGTATAGCTTTTCGAAGTGATGGGTTTACCTCTTGGTCAGAAAGCAGGAAATGTGGGTTCGATGGAAAATGGGTGGGAGGATGGGGGTCTGGACATTGTGAGGGGTCCTTCACCATCTGTCTGTGGCCTTGTTTTCTAGTTTACATTGTAAGTTAGAGTTTAGAAACCATGTACACAGGTGTCATAAGTTCACAAGGATATAATTAGCAGCTTGGGTCCAGTGTCCTGGGAGGAGACCGATTACAGACTTCTCGGGAGCGGCAGGAGTGCTGTGCTGAGTGTCTGATGATGTTTTCCTTGACTGTATTCCTGTCAACTCTGACTCGTGGTGGCCTCCCGTCTAACAGAGCGAAACGCTGCCTGGTCCCACACTGTGTTCTTGACCATTGCTGTGTCTGGGACCGTGGGTGGCTGTGGCTCAGCATATCTCATGGACGTTTACCTCAGTCTTGCTGATCCTCCACTTGACCAACCGTGACGTCTTTTTCTGGACATTGGTCTTTCCTGATGACGTATCCAAAGTAAGCAAGACAAGGGCTCCCCATCCTTGCTTCTGAGGAGCTTTCTGACTGGATTTCCTGTACGACTCTTTGTAACAGTCTACGGTATAGTTGATATTCTTCACCAGCACTACAGTTAAAATGTGTCAGCTCTTCTTCAGTTTCCTTATTCATTCACCAGCTTTGCCACGCACATGAGGCAATTGAAAAGACCATGGCTTGGTTAGGTGTACCTTGGTCCTCAGAGTGACATCTTTACTTTTTAACGTTTTTGTGGTAGTTCAGTTTGTGTGTCAACTTGGCTAGGCCTGGGTGAATGGCTGGGCAGCTGGATATATTATTCCCCATGACACTGGCAATCAACTCCATGGTGGAATCTACTGTGAGCAGATGAGTAGCTGCCTTTGGGATGTGATCTGCTTCCTGTATATAAGCAGAAGCCTTGGGGAATGATTTCTGGCTTATGGCACGCTTGGACCCTGCATGTAGCCATGTCGTTGTTCAGCAGCCTACCATGCTCTGCCAACCTTGGGACTTACAATGACCCTGAGTTAATGGCCTGCCATGTGGTTTGGTAACATTGGGACTGTGCCTTTTTATTTGCCAACCTTGAGCTTGTCAGTCTCAGCAGCCAGCAGCTGTCGGAGTGAAGAAAAGCCTCTAGCTCCAGTGGGCCAGGAGCAGGAGGCAGAGCTGGACCCCAAGATTGAGGGGTTTTCACCCAGCCCCTGGAACCTGGAACTTTGAACCTGGACTTAAAGCGTCCAAACTGTGAGAGAATGAACTCCTGTTTGTTAAGGACAATCCCATTTGTGGTATATTCTTGTTAGAGTGGCACTAGGGAACCAGAACAATTTTCAAGTGGTCTTTTGCAATACGTCATGTTACTTCTTGACTGTTGCTTCCATGGGTATTAATTGTGAGTCCAAGTAAAATGAAATCCTTGACAACTTCATTCTTTTTTCTGTTTCTCATGATGTTGCTTGTTGGTCCAGTTGTGAGGACTTTTGTTTTCCTTATGTTGAGGTGTAATCCATACTGAAGTCATAGTCTTTGATCTTCATCAGTAAATGCTTCAAGTCCTTTTCACTTTCAGCAAGTAAGGTTGTGTTATCTGCATATCACAGGCTGTTAAGGAGCCTTCCTCCAGTCCTGAGGCCATGTTCTTCATATAGTCCAGTTTCCTGGATTATTTGCTGAGCATACAGGGTGAATAACTGTGGTGAAAGGATACAACCCTTACGCATACGTTTTGATGTACATCATTTTGGAATATTTCTATATCTCTGTATCCAAAAATGTTCTGACTCCCCATCTGGGCTTTTCACATTCCTGAACACAGAGGCCTCAGGTCCTCCAACTCTGTATTAGTCCTGTAGCATAATATGTCATCAAGAAGACAGCCTTGGGAAACGTTCACCACAGTGCACCTTGTGGGGTTGGTTTTGCGGCTTGCAGTTCATGGTCTCCAGGGACCATTTCATAACCCTCATTCCCTTTTAGGACTCACTGGGCTCTGTGAGGGTTGCCAACAGAGAACTCGGCATTTACCAGATCCCACAAATCACCTCCCAGAGCGTCTGCCATTCTGAGATGAGGAGATGATATTTCAGGAACACGGGAATGACTTGTGTGGCTCAGATCTTTTCAAATTTATAAAATGAAGTTCTTAAAACACAATTTTGAGCTTTTAGTTTCTTCATATTTCCTCTGTGATAAACCCTAAACAGCTTAGATTTTTCAATTGTACGTTTTTTCCAAATTGTCCATGTTTAGACAGTGAACTGTGGAGAGAAATAAGGTAGTCCAGAAAAAGTATAGAAAATTTCACTTCTAAAGGAAAATGAAATTAAATGAGATGTGCACCTTCCCTTTTCTGTACTAAATAAATAGTATCCTGCGTAAAATGCGTAAGCTTTGTGAAAATCCGTTTTCCCATCACACGGTACCATCAGATGAGGAAACAGTGCATGCCAGTGAGAGGCAGGGGCTGGATCATGTAGGCTTGGTGTCCCTCTCCTGGTTTTTGTGCCAGTGGGCATTTTCTTGCCATAATTTATCATTTGCACAAGTGTCTGCTGTTTTCTAGGAAGCCCTGACAGAATGGACCTGGTTCTGTGTAAAACTGTCATGTGTGGCCTGTGCCCTATCCCCTCCACTAATTCCCTGGATTCTCTTTCACTCTTCTCTTTGGACTGTCAGTTGCCATCAAGTGGACTGTGACTTACGGCATTAGAGGGAAACATTGCCTGTCTCCACGCTGTCCCCATGGTCACTGGTGTGTTTGTGTCCATGTTCCTTTGACTAATGATAGCATGTTTAGCTCTGAAGTCTGATCACCTTGTGGGAATGCTCATGGTCTGTTGGGTTATCCACTGTGGTAAACACCATCTTGGTTTTTTCTAGGTCGTGCTGGTGAGGTGGAACGAGCCCTACCAGAAGCTGGCCACGTGTGATGCGGACGGAGGGATATTCGTGTGGATTCAGTATGAGGGCAGGTGGTCTGTGGAGCTGGTCAACGACCGTGGGGCTCAGGTGAGCAGGGGCTGGGGTGGAGTGCCAGACCGAGTACTCTGGAAAAAATGCTTCACATCACGGAAAACTCTCTCCCAAACAAAGAGGAGTGGGAATAAATAAAATTAGAACCGGCTTCTCACTCCTCAGAGTATGTCACTAGCTTAAAATAGGATCACGTTCCTGCCTTCAGCTCTGCCGCCGCATGTGAGAACTGTCAGGGTTCAAGCTTTAATTAAATGTGTGGGATCGTTTTTTTCACCATTCAGTGTGTGATTCCATGTTAAATTTGGACCCTCGGAAGGGCTTCTAGCATATCACTTCTCTGCTCCTTCTAAAGGTATTTTCCCTGTTTTGTAGGCTTCTGCTTCTCTCTGGGAGAGCCTGGAAGATGATTTCTCACCAAGCAGTGGGTTTTCACACTCTCTTCTGTCAAGTTTCAATTAGTGCAGCCCCCTGCGGCCCTCACTTCCGTTCTGGTGCAGAGTCCTCTCCGCTGGGAGGAAGCCAGTGACTGGCAGGGCCCTATGGAGGCGTCTATTCTTAGAAGCCTCCACAGGGTTCTCCTGGCTTGCAGCACATTCTTCCTCCAACTCGAGGGGTGAGCTCCACGAGCACCTCCTCTCTGTGCCAGGACTCAAGTCCATCCTGGTCCTGGGAATGTGAACCCTGGTCCCCTATGGATGCTGGCTGAGGAGGGCTTTCTGGGACCACTCATCCCCGGACGGTTTCCCTGTGACTAGCTCGCTGCATATGTCTAAGGAACTGGCAGTTTGTCCTCTGCTCCCCCACCCCTTGCTAAATACGCTGTGTGCACCCCATGTTTGAAGGGCCAGTCAAGGGAAGTGAAATTGCAGAGAATGAAGGTATTGTTGATTGTTGCTGTCAGGTGGATCCTGACTCATGGTGACGGTATCGTGGTACATGATTACAGAGGACAAGTGTAGCTCTCTGTAAAGACAGAACCTTCTTCTGTGTGTGTGTGTGAGAGAGAGAGAGTGTGAGTTTGTCTGTTCATGTAAACACAACATGGACCGACCCTGGTAAGCCCCCTTCAGTTTACTGCCTACCTCCGTGGAATGAAAGAGGAAGAGGCAGAGCCCACCCTCTGGCTGCTGACCCTCCTGAAGTGGAGCCCCAAGTGTGGAAACCTCCATGGCCCTAAGTAGGGAGTTCATGTCACCTTGAGGATCGATGTTGGGGTCAGGATCCGTGACTTCTTGGCTGTGTAGCCTTTTGTCAGCTACTTCTCTTGCCTTACTGTTGTCAACTGGAATAAGTGGTGGTTTTTATGTGCCATCAGGTGATGTCCACTCACATCAACCCCATGTGACGGTAGAACGGCTCTGTAGAGTTTTCTGGACTATAACAGGAATTGACTTGCTGGCACACAACAACAACAGTCTCTTTACAGGAGCAGATGGCTACATCTTTCTCCTGAGGAACTGCAGTGGTTTGAATCACCACTCTACTGCCAGGACAGTCTGCTTAGCCAAACCAAGCCAAACTCACTGCCATCGAGTCAGATCCGACTCATAGCCACCCGCCTTGGCTTTCCGAGGTGGTGTCATTTCAGAAGTAGATGGCCCAGTCTTCCTTCCAAGGAGTGGCTGGTGGGTTTGAACCACCAGCCTTTTGGTTAGCAGTCAAATGCCTTACGCACTGTGCCACCAGAGCCAGGGCTGGTTACAGGAAGTATAAGAATCCTGCCTTAAAGACTCATTGTGGGAACTAAGTAAGACTATGTATGTGAGGAGGAGCTCTGGTAGCATAGTGGCTAAGACACTTGCCTGCTAACCAGACGGCTGGTGGTTCAAACCCACCAGCCACTCCTCGGAAGGAAGGTTGGGCAATCCTACTTCTGTAGTGATACTGCCTCGGAAACCCAAGGAGGGGTCTCTATGAGTCAGAGCCGACTCGACGGCACATAACAAAAACAACAACAACAACATGTATGTGAGGTGCTCATGACAGTGCCTGCATCATAACTGTTGTCACTATACATTTGTAATGCTCAGACCTACTGTGTGTAGAAGTACTACTACCCCGTAGCACCTTTCCTCAAGCCTGCCTGTCCTGTAAACGGCAGCCATACCATCACCAATGACGTGCTTCAGGCGTGGAGGTTACACCGCTCCCTTGCTTTCTGCGATGTGGAGATTTCTCCAGGTTCATCCATAAGGGTCTAAAGTGCTGGGCTTCTCCTGCGAACCAAAGCGTAGGACTCGGTGATTAGCCACAACATGTCTGCAGATTTGGGATGGCAAGAAAATGGTAAATGTCGTTTCTTTTGATCTTTGTAGGCACCCCATTCAAAAGATGTCATTCTCAGTTAGTGGAAGAGAAACCCAAGGCAGGGAAGCCAAGGAACTTGTCAGCCCAGGGCAGTTAGTGGGAGGAAGAGCTGAGGCTGAATCCATACACTCTGCCACGCACTCTTATTCCTTGTGTGGTTATATTACATCTCATAGGGCTCAGACTTCCTTACTGCCAGAGAAGGGCCACACCAGCCGAGAGGGGGCCCACACCAGCCGAGAGGGGGACCACTGCCACACTTTTTTGCATCATGGCAGCAGCATCTTGTCCAGCAGCTGCGTGGTTCACGCTGCCCTGTCCCTAAGCCCTTCTTCCCCTTGAGAGTTAGAGCAAGCAAGCATGCTGGAAACAAGAGCAGGGCATGGACTCAGACCTGTGCGTGAGTGAGCCCCCGAGGGATGGAAACCCTTGGCAGCAGTCTTCACCAGTCGCCACCAAGTCTGTTCCCACTCATGGTGCCCGTGGGTGTCAGAGCAGGACTATGCTCTGTGGGGTTTTCAGTTACTGAGATCCAGAAGTAGGTCACCAGGCCTTTCTTCCGAGGTGTCTGGTTGGACTGGGATTGCCAGCCTGCAGTTTAGCGGCCAGGCACCACTGGCATCAGTCAGAGCCTCTGGAAGCATCTGGAACCTGACAGAAGCCCGTGTCAGCTGGGGATGACCAGAGTCCTTGCTACAGCTTGTGATCCGATTCAGTTTTTCTTACAGTTCTGCTTTCTGGAACTCTCAGGACTCGCCTGAGCAGTTGTCACCATTGAACCGTCTATGCTTTGGGGAGGCCTGTTGTGCTGCGTTGTCTTGCAGGCAGACCATATGTGGTGGTGAGTCACTGTGAGGCAGGTGGCTCTGCACCTGGGGAATGTCTGGTGCCAGCATCCTTTCGTGGCTGGAGGAGGGACATCTTGAAACCAGCTCAGAGAAGAACTATTTCTTCTGAAAAGAAATGACTATTGATCCTTCTTACACAGTGTACCTTGCATTGTCACAGAGTAGCCAAACAGTTGGCAGAAGCTACATGAACAGTTGTGTTTCAGGACAGGATCGTGAATCCTTCATGGGGCTGGCATGGCCTCACAGGGCCAGCCACTGAGGACGCCTGTGCCTGGCTCAGTATCACGAATCTGTGTCCGAGAACATGTCTTCGTCAGGAAGAGCATCACGCCCCTTCGCCATCCAAGCCCAGCTGGAGCAGTGGAGTGCGTTTGGAACACAGCTACCTCTGTTTTTCTGATTGTCATATTCTTACCACTCGATGATGACCTAGTTTAATAATCTTAGTTAGTTCAGATAAACCTCCTGTATCATCCAGGTCTGTGGCTGTAAGTTTGCTTGGGTCTCTAAGAAGCATCTTTGCGCTGGCTGTACGTTTTTGCCCTCTGGTTAGAGGGAGTGTTTCCTTTCAGTACAAATAATTTCTGAGATAAATGAGTTAAGAGCATGCAAATAAGCAGCATTATCCTTGCGAGGCGACAGGCCCTTAAATTTTGTTGCAGAAGGTAATGTGTTTTCTCTGAAAACTGTTGCTTTCAGTTCTTTATTTCTGAATTTGATTGATGTTGTGGTCGAGAGTGGCAGAGCCCCGCCGTTGCCCCATGTCACCCATCCAGTGACATGGAGCCCATTCTTCCAGCTGTGCTGCCATTTTCACCCTCCTTTTCTAGGGTGCTCCTCCCCATAAACATGAACTTACTGCCCCTTGAGGTTCCTGTGTACTCTCTGGAGTTGCTGTTGACATTTTGAGCCCATGGTGATAGTTCTTAAAAGACCACAATGCTCAAGGCAGACCTCTTTTTTTTTTCCCCCACTGGTTTGGTTAAGCTGTTGTTCAGTTTTAAGAAGACTCCAGGGGATATTTTTGGTTTATAAAAATTGCTTTAAATTCTTAAAGTGAGATCGTATGCTTGATTGAAACATCTATCAATATAACCAGCCTCTGCATGGACCCAAGGAAACAGCTTTTTCGGTCCCTTACACCAGCTGTTGAGGAGCTGCCTCTCAAGCCACACCATTCATGGGGACAGTGGCTGGTCACCAACAGAGACCGTGGCCCCTGCTGGGGAAATGGTAGGAAGGTCATGTCCTGGGGGTGTCTGTTCATCCATCTTATTATTCACCCAAAATGTGTGGTATTGGTAGTGTCACACATTTTACAGGAAATAGGATATTTCTAAGTCTAAGAAGAGTGAAGATTACATATGTGTCTTTTTTTTTTAAGTTAAAAAAGGTTGAAAAGAAGCAAAAGGTGGCACTAACTTAAATTAAGTGGTAGAAACAAGAACATACGACAAAAATTATAATAAATGTAAATGAGATAGATTCACAAATTAAATGATAAAAGGTGGCAGATTATGTTTTCAAAAACCCCAGTATATGGTATTAAGAGCCACACCTAAAACTTAACATAGAAGTTTAAAGTAAAAGGATGCAAAAAATATCTGGCAAATAGTAAGTCAGAAAAACAAGGGAGACAATGGAACAGAAATAATGAGAGTGTGGACACAGGTGAAGAGCATCACCATCACTGACCTTTGTGTCTGAAACTGGGTGGTGGGAGCAGGTTTCGCTGGGTATATTTTTACACACGCACATGAATGGCTAACATAAATGTGGCGATACATTTTAATTTGATGCTGTCATATGGTAGATAACCTAGCGTTTGGTATTTTCTCTGTTTTCTGTGGAATGCTTGAAACACTTCATAATAAAAAAGGAAATAAAAAACAATTAATTAAAAACCCAGGAAAGGTGACCAGTAACCAAAGGCATGAAAAGATGGCTCAGGAATTCAGTGGGGATAGGAACGTCTTTTCAACAGATGGCTCTGGAACAACTAAACAGCTGTAAGAAAAAAAAAATGAGCCGTGAGTCTTAGCTCCCACTGTGCACACAGATGAGCTCTGAAGGAGCTGTGGGCCTCACTGTGAAAACGGAACTTCTTCTGGGGGACAGTGCAGGAGGAAAGCTCTGCCCCTGGACTTCTGCACCAGTCCTTGTGAAGGCCACAAGTCCATGAGCCACAGAGGAAAAATGATACGGGGCTTCATCAAAATTCCAAACTCTTGCTCTTTGACAGATACCTTATGAAAATGAAAAGGCAAGCCAGGGCCTGGGGAACATATTTGCAGTCCACATACCTGAAAAAGCACTTATATCCAGAATTTATACAAACATTTTACAACATAATAAGAAGGTTGATGACCTAATAAATGTATTTATATATATCTCCATGTATTGTGTATGTATATATAGATAGATATGACAAAGGATTTGAACAGCTACTTCCCAGAAGATGACATGCAGATGATCACTGAGCACATGAACCACTGCTCGACCTCCTTAGCCAGCAGGGAAATGCAAATTCAAACCACAGTGCAATTCCATACACACCCTTTGTTGTGGTCAGTGGCCCTTGAGTCGATTCTGCCTCACGGTGACCCCCTGTGTGCAGGGTGGGACTGCTTCATAGGGTTTTCAAGGTTGTGACCTTTTGGAAGCACATTGCCAGGCCTGTCTTCTGTGGTACCTCTGGATGGGTTTCAACCACCAGCCTTTTGGCTCGTAGTCAAGAGTTTAACCATATGGTACACACAGGGGCTCCTGCACACCCAGTAGAATAACTGAAATCAAAAAGACCGACAGCACCAAATGTTAGCTTCTGTGTCTACTAGAACTCACATGCACTGTTGGTGGGAGTGTCAAATGGGATAACCACTTTGGAATATAGCTTGGTATTTTCTTATGTGGTTAAACATGTATTCACCTTATTACTCAGCAGTAAATTCCACCCTTTGGTATTTACCCAAGAGAAATGGAACTATGTGTTCACAAAAAATCTTGTACATGAATGTGCACAGCAACTTGATAATAGCCCCAGACTGGAAACAGCCCAAATGTCCAGCAACTTGGATAGAAAAGTAAGTTGTAGTGTATCCATATAAGGGAGTACTACTCATCTGTGAAAAGGAATGAACTAGTGACACAGGCAAGAACACAGAAGACTGTCAAACCCACTGTGCTGAACAAAAGCAGCCAGGCAGAAAAGTGAACATACTGTATGGTTCCGTTCGTGTGAGATTCTAGAACAAGCAACTAGTGGCAGAAATAAGATCAGTGGTTGCTTGGGACCAAGGTTGAAGGTAGGGGATTGACTGCTGAGAGAGAGCTCTATCTTATTATATATGAATGACACTTCAATGAAGCTGATTTATAAAAGGATAATAAGAGATACTTTAAACAACTACTTGACAACAGTTTTGAAACTGATATAACCAGACAAATTCCTAAAAATGTATAGGTACTGTAACTCAAAAAGAAATAAGCTTGGAAGTCTGGCTAGTACAAAACTATTAAAGAAACTGAAACAGTGGTTAAAAATCTATTCACAAGAAAATACAGAGCCAGATGGTTCTATAGGCATGTTCTACCAAACTGTTAGGCAGTGGGTTATCCCAATATATACAAATTCTTTCAGGAGTGCAAAAAGAGAGACTGAGGTCCATCTCGTTCTGATAGATCAGCATAAGCCTGATCCCCAATCCAAGAAAAGACATCACAGGAAGGGAAATGATGGTTCTGCTTCCCCCATAAATACAGGTACAGAAATTCTGCTATATTAGCTGATTGAATCCAACTGTGTATAAAAGGATAACATTTCACCTCCAAG